TTCTCTTAAGCAAAGCAACTTAAATTTTTTTAGCCCTATAAAATGATTATGAAGAAATATATAATGCAACTATGTGAAAATCATCAAGAGCCTTGTGAAATGTTTCTTTTTGGATTGTTACTGGCAGGCAGCACTTTTTCTGATAATCTTAATGATCTTGATTTGCACTTGAATGTTACAACTAGATCCTCAGCTGCATCACAAACCATAGGAAAGAAAGGCAAGGCTGAGGTCAAGAGGGCCATAACACTGGCAGCACAGAGGTCTGGATGGAAAAGTGCAGTAAGTTTTTGCAGCCCTTCTCGCCAATGCAATAAGTAAAGTAAAAAGCAGAGTAATGCCTGTTCATTATTTTTGGCTTCCATAGTACATGTTAAATACCACATCAGATAGCAACAGAAAATGATCCTTGCAGGGACCCTGGAGATGATCCTGTCCACTCTCCAAAGTCTCATCAGCTCTTTCCAGGTCTGACAGAACCCAGCTAAGCACCAATCTCTGCTATTTTTGTCTTCTCTTGCAAGTGGCCCACATTCAAAATTGTGGAGAGTGTGTGTATGCTTAATAGAAATATATGTAATTCCACTTAACCTCTGATTTGGAGAAAACCACTATTATTCCTTTAAAATCCTTATGTTGGACACTCCATGTTCAAATCCATAAATGACATGTGACATTACTATAGAAGATCAAAGAAATATTCCAGGTTGTCTTTTCCAATTTGTCATACTGCAATTAACTTCTTTTGCATTACAATTAACTCAAACACAATATTTAAATTCCTGAGCATTTAAAGTATGCATAAAGACTCTAAATACTAGCTAACAATGACATCTTGCTCTCATTTCATTTTTAACATTCACATAAATTTGACTGCTGTGATGGTTGGTGGGGAGGTGGTAGGCATGATCTTTGAATATGACATTTCACTATTGTGAAAGAAACAAAAACCCAAAATGCTTATTTTTATTTGTTGGTTCATTTTGTACTTTTTTCTCAAATGTGAATCAATTCAGACCAGAGGGCCAGGGCATGTCTATGTCTTTGGAAGGACAGACCACCTTCTGCAGGGATATGCTACCACCACCCTTCAGGTTATCAAACAGCAGACTGTCTAGTTGGTTGGTCAGGAAGGCTGGGTATATTATTACTTCTTTATGCCAGTAGGTCCTGAATCAGAATCTCTAATGCTCATGCTGTACTGTTATTTCAATTACAACATCAATTCATATTTCAGGATTCACTGCTTGCATATTATCTTGGCAACATTCAATCTATTAATGTATAATTATTATTTCAGTGCTGGGGATTGAACCCTAGGCTTTGCACATGTTGGGCAAGCCTCTAACACTGAACTATACCCCTGGCCCTAAAATTCTTAATGTTATTTTCAATTTACCAATATAGCCAGGCTCCTGTTATTATTACATCTAATCTTGATTTTTATGTTATAGAGTTTTCAAATTAAGCAAAACTAAATGAAACATATCATAGTTCAACTTGGAGCCAGTAAAAATAGGACTTCACTGTATTCTGTGGTGCATGAAAAATGCAACTGCTCTTATATAACACCTACTCTGCCTGGGAGCAAATCAAGAGCTTTCCTCAGAATCATAGCCAAGCCATGGCCTCTGCTACTGGCCACAGGATTCACAGTAACATTTCTTGGTTGAATTCAGATAAAATATTCAATCAGGGATAATCTATAATAACAAAAATTGTGGCTACTATGTACCTACATGTACCAGAAACTCAAATTTTTCTGATGTAAAGTGATCAAGCAACTGGCTCAAGGAAGTACAGATAATAAGCAAACTCTTGGGGGGTGAAGAACTGGTCTTACTATCATTCTGTCCAGAGAGACTCAGAATGTAGGATGCAATCATCACTGGGGAGATGGAGGGCAGATGGATGCTAATGTTTTAATGTCAGAGGTTTCTGTTTTGTTTTGTTCTCTGTCTCTCTGTGTGTGGAAATAGGATAGTTCTTAAGAGTTTGATCAAAGGTACAGTTAAAATTATTTTCACTCTATTTTTAATTGAGACATAAAAACCGTACATGGGGGTTCCCTGTGGTGTTTCCACACAAGTATACATTGTCCAATGTTTAAATTAAGAGTAAACATGTCTCCTCCAACACATCACTTATTTGTAATGAAAACATTCAAAATCTTTTAAAATTTCACTCTAATTTATATTGACAGCTTATAAGGCTTAATTTTTTACTGGAAGTGATGGATTTATCTCTAAAATGATAGCTTCTCTAAGAGGGAAAACTAGTCTTCACATGATGGATTATCAAGTCCTTTTAAGTAACAGCAGTGGGGAGAGAGACCATGTTATATAACAGTAAAATGGGAAGATTTCCTCTTTAGCTAAAAAGCCCCCAACACAAACATCTCTGGAGTCAGGTGCTGTAACTCTGTTTGGCTTTCATCTTGGTGTTTGCTTTTTACCAAAGGTAAACGGTGTTCTTGGCTTTTCCCCTCAAAATAAGATTTGACAGCCACTCACATCACGGGGTAGCATTATGTAACAAGCAGGTAAAGAAGCAAAAAGGAAAACTGCACTAAAATGAGGCCTTGGTGAGTGGGCTCGAGCTTATTTTACTGACACAGAAAACACTTATCAGTGAGGCCACGTGACTGATTATCATCATGGAAAGCTCTGGGCTTTCCCACAATAGACCTCTGAACTGCACGTACATATTGCAAGCAGTGACCGCCTAAGTGAGCATTTGTGTGGGAGAGAACTCCTGCCAGGCCTCCGAATTCTTTTGGAGATGTTTTCAGAAGTCAAGTATGATTTCTTTTCTCCTTTTTCATAATGCCATCCCACAGATTTTTAAAATAACGAAGAGTTATTTTAATGGGAACCATCAAATTCTGAGATGCTTGACCTTATTAGCAACTCTAAAAAATATGTACTGCAGCTCATTGTCTAATATGAGTCCTATGCTAAGCATAAATACTTCTTTTTTCTTCTTCTTTCTAAAGAGCAAGCCCTAGATAGTTTTTAACTTTTTAGCTCCAGAGAAAGAAGAACCTTCTACTTTTTATGAGCTTAAAAAAAGTATCTTCAGGCTGAGGGTATAGCTTAGTGGGACAGTACCTGTCTAGCATGCACAAGGCCCTAGGCTCGATTCCCAGCAAAGCAAAAAAAAAAAAAAAAAAGAAGCATTAAAAAGTATCTTTAAAGCAATCACATTGCTTTAAAGAGCCACATTGGTCTCATAGTCAGCACTTTGTGATGTATCTAATTTGCTTATTATTAAGGCTATGCATTAAAACTGAGAAATAGCAGGATGATATATCCTAGGGGGTAAAGAATATGATTGTTTATGCAAATCCTTCAATAGACCTATTTGCTTTCAATCAATATTGATAAAAATCACATAGGATGAACTTGACTTAGCATTAAAACGGCATTCTCATAGGTCTGTTTCTGGTGAACAAATCAAATTATCTCTTTGGGGAGATATTCTTAAATAGCAGTCATTCCTAAATGCATCTAATTCTTGCTTAGGTCATAAAAATAGCTATTTAGGTTGCTAACATGTTTTAACTTTTTGGAGGGGGTCATATTCTTGGCTAAAATCTTGTAAGATCAGTTTGTACAGCATGCAAGAAGAAACTAAGGCCTGGTAATCTGCATGAATTGCTTGAGTTCGTAACAGATAATGTAGGTAAAACTGGATGCATATATGGTTTTTATTTTCTATCAAGTATTTTAATCTACTGAATTTTCTCAATTTTATTTTACAGCAAAGATATTAGATAAAAAGTAAGGTCCTTAACAATGTTTGAAGAACAAAATACTATTTGGTTTACCTTGAAATATTAGCAATCTTTACATAGTTTATATAGCTCAAAAACATTTTTTATTAAGTAACTTAATGATCTAAAGATCATAATGTACTCTTCACTATGAAAAATGCAGTGGGGGCATGGTATCTAACATTTGAGAAAAAGAAATGCTGGTGTTAAAAATCAGGATGACTTTCAAATTTTGAATGAAGTCACGTTAAGTATAGAGCCTGATATTCTATATGCTGAATAAATGTTGAAAAAAATTAATAAATGGAATATCAAGATTTTTAGCCTTTGGAAATCAAATAGTTCCTTTTCAACATCAAAGCTGAAAATATTCATCTTAAACTGCATCATAAAGTTGTCTAACTATTGGGAACTTACTATAGAAATGCCAGTGAATCTGTCTATTATGTGTAACTGGTTGCCTTACACACAACTTCAGATTGTACTGAGTTAGGATGCAAAGGACAGAACTTCAAGGCCTTGTATCATGCTGTAAGTACAGGCAAGATTCATACACAACTTGCATTAACACACACATCATCCTGATGAAAGAAGATTCAGGTACTGTGGATATAACATATTAAAACAGTAACTAAAAACGATACATACAAAAGGTGAAAGCAAATACTGAAAAAGTAAAAAGAAGCTGCTAGTGTCAGCAGTATCAGTGGTCCCCCGGTAGCCATCCTCTTTCCATCATGGTCAATTCATTAACAGAGAAGAAAAGACAGAAACTATGGGAAATGCAGACCATCTGCTCAATCCAGATGCACTGCACATGCCTCTATAGCCAAAGTCTTTTACCAGACCAAACGGATAAGATCTAATCCTCTCCCGAAACTGCCAACAAAGGTATTTAGATGCATTTGCATCACAAATGAAAATGCCAAATCATTATTAAATGAGGCCTTTTTAATATCAGTCAAGGCTTACCAGTGTGTACACATTGATGAAACAGAATATTAACACAGCATTAGAGAAAGTGGGGTTGGATTTCTATTAGCTCTATTCAGCTAGTCCTTAAATAAAATAAGGCTTAAAACATCATCTTTTCTTGAATAGGAGGAACATTTTAGTCAAGTCATCCTAGTTTTCAAAAGACATCAGAAGACACTCCTTCAAATTATACACTTCAAGTAATGAGCATTTCTTATAAGAGAAGGCTAAAAATGATGAATAGTCTTACCTTGAAGTTGTGGACCTTTTCATATTTGGGGATTTGTTCATTTTCTTTCAGAGTTGCTCTTCTAACAAGTGATGTCAACTGTGAATAAGCAAAGAGTTTCAGAGGTTGCCAGATTGTCACAGATGACTTTTGAGAACCCAGTTTCATTCCCAAGGCTGCTATCAATAAATCTTGCTGACGGCCCTCTTGTTTTGATTTGTGAACGGCAGCTTTATTAGTTTTCCTCCCCGACCAAGACTCTTTGGATGGCATTTTGGAATTCAGAGGAAAGAAAGAAAGAAACCCTGTATTGGCCTGTGTCTGCCGAGGAACTCTATTCAGCTAACACACGAGCATTCTGCAGCCGGCACAGAAGCTTAACCTACAGAGAGCTGCGGCCACACCACACCACAGAGAGGTGCAAGAGGGTGATGAAGCACTTCTTCAACAGAGGCCGACTAGCCAGGCAAATTCTTCTTTCTTCCTTTTCTTTTAAAACAGGGGTTCTATATTTAAGCTTCTGAAAACTTAAGAGTCAGAACAGAAATAAAAACAGTCGTGCTAACATACGAAATATTCAGCATCTCTTTATAACCCCTTTTGCAAAGCCATGCAATTCTGACATATTTCTAAAAGCTTTCTTCTCTATTCAATAGATTAAGGTCCATTCTGAATGAAAGATGCCTACATACTGCCTGCAGTCAGTTTCTAGCAAGAGACACCCTGTAAACCCTCTAGCAGGAATGTGGGGGAAGGGAGGGATTTGCTGGGGGAGGCAGGATTAGACTGGCCACCGTAAGAAAACAGCTAACCAATGAAAATCAAGCAACAGTATTTAAGTACTGTGTTCCTCAACTCACTGTTTCTCCTCTCATGTAAGATTTTCTTGCTGGCTCAAGGGATAAAAAAATCAGTGGGAAGATAATGAGTAATGAATGAGTCATACATTATTACAAAATGGAATTTTTTAACCTATTAAAAGCAGTAGAAAATTAATATACAGCAGCAGATTTTAAAGAGAACATACCACTGCCAGATAAATCATGGAAGGCTGTTCTGAACCTTTCTCTGTGTATTATGCCAGGTATGCACTCTACCACTGAGGTATAAACCCCAGCCCTATTTGTGCATTACAGACAGAGGTCATTTAAAGCCCGATGTGTTAAACATGAACAAAAACTGGTAAGCATTTTGATGAAAAAGACAATTAGTTCAACTAGAAATCATATAACATTGCCAATACAATGGAATGGTTAGTTTTGTCTTTACCCGATGTGGTTCTGTTTTGGGTCTACACTTAAGTAGATAAAACCAATAATTTGATTGTCTAGCCTTAATATTTTTTTATTTCAAGAACTTGAGGCCAGAGGAGACATCAAGGAATCAATCATCCCTGAGTTGTACCGGTCCTGGATGTAGTGCAATTATACTTCCTGGACCCTTGGATGTTTGTCAGAAAGGGCCTGCAGGAGGGGTGCTGCATTTAAGGGCAACACCTGCACTTTCTCTAGGTATTATGGGAGGTTTAAGTTTTTGCATTATGGTTCCCTAACCATCTCCCATCTTTTTCCTCATGCTATAGCAATTAATTTAAATCTGCTATAATTCTAATGTTACACTGTATTTAAAGAATCTAAAACTAATTTCAACGAATTAGGGGCAAAGGGCAGTTCAGTAGTAGACAGCATGCTGAAGCATAGGCATCTCTAGCACCAAAAAAGTAAGAATAAATACATTCAATTGCTTACTAATATGACCAATTTATCTCAGATTTCATAATCTATAGATGGTATCAACCCAATGAAGATTCTATTTAATTAGGATATGAGTGGTCCTTAAACTACATTCGGCATTGGAAATCATGAGTGTTTTTATAAACATCCCCAAGTCGTTGTTATTTTCTTGAGTCTCTAGTCCCTTTTATTCTTATAAAAACATTTCTAAGCAAATAAAAGGCAGATATTAATATTTACAACTACAGAAGTTTCAGTTTCACAAATTTATAACTTTAGGTGATTAATGGGAAATAAAATGGTCCCATTCAAAGAGGAAAGGCAATGGAAAAAGGTTTCATTGCCTAAGCTGAATTATTCTTCAGCTTAGAACTAAGTGGTCATGTAATGACTAAAAAATGAAAGGCCTACCAATTCTTTAGACATGGACAGCCTAAAATGAAGTTTATCCAATTTTCAGCAGGCACCAGGAAAAAATGAAGACTATAAAGGCAAGTGGAACAGTATTTGTTTTTTTCTCTATGTTTAATACCAAGTAGCACTTTTTTTTTTTTCCTGAGTATTTTTGGCCAAGGTCCTATGTTTTAGATCAGTCCTTGTCCTTCAGCTATAGTAACTAAACTTCAAGGCCAGGTAAAGTGAACATTTTGACACTAAGAGATAATGCTTATGATACACTTGGTAGACTTATACTGTCTTTCTTAATTTTTATACTAATTAAGAAATACTGTATCACAATTATAATTTGGGCAGTGACCTAGGGCAATAAGGAGATGAAAATAAGATAGCTTAGGATGAAAAGGACTTAGACATTCTCAAATGGCTATGGGTTTGTCACTGTTGCCTTCAATATGGAAACATCTGCACTGCTGCATTAATTTTGGGATGAGCTTGCAGAACACAAGGGCTGCTAACTCTCTCAACCATTATCAACGTTCTGATGTTCCAGACAACTATGTATCACTCACACTTATATTTATCTGGCTATATCATCAGACTTAAATCATAGTTACAAACTCTCTTAATAACGACTATTGTTTGTTACTGAGTACAGGGTCCCAGGCACCCTTCTAAGCACTTTACAAGTAGAATCTCATTAAGTCCACAGATAAACCCTAAGAGGCACAGACTATCTCCACAGCTGGGAGAACCGAGGTCCACCAATGCTGAATTCCCAAAGCTATGTAGCAGTAAGGTGGCAGAGTTGGGTTCTTAAACACTATGCTATACCCGCACAGGTGAGAGAACAAGAGGAAACTGTGGCGTCTGAGGGTGGTCATTTTCTTGATTATATTCAAGGTAGTTCCTCTGGTTATCTTCTTTCAAAGAGTAAGAACAGATGGTAAGTAACAGCAACTAGGATCTCTTTGAGTTTAGTGTGCAGTCCATGAAGTAGAAGATGCAGACCCAAGGCTGAACCAACCATTCCCTCATTCATGAAGCTTTGATGGTTTGCACTAGTCTGGTGTGAACTTGTTCACCTGTGAACCTCAGAGTCCTTTACTTGTTCATTAGTTGTAAGATATCACATTCTATCCCATAGCAGTTATCTGGGTAGCTGTTTATATAGAATGGGTTTTACATATCTTCATATAAACCCTGGATCCAGCATAGGGAACTGCACAAAATATGTTCAATAAATATTTGTTTACAATGTAAAGCCTAATGGGGGCAGCTACTTTTAGTAGGAGGCAGGTATCTGAAATCAGAGAAGCTGAGGTTTGAACACTGCTTGGTGCCTTGACCACCTCACCTACATACCAGGGCCAATAATAGCCATCTTATAGGTTACTGGAAAATTGAAAGAAAACACATAAAAGAAAGATGAAAGACTGTAGACAGTAAGTACTCAATAAATGATAGCTTTACAGGGGTGCTGTGCCAAGTATTAGCTGTGGAGCATGTTGTATAAATATGGGAGTGCCTGCCTCAAGTCTGTAGTGTCCCTTTGATGTATACCACACAGCATGCCTGGAAACTCTTGCCCTTCCCTTTTTTTTTTTTTCTTCTTTGTCTCTATTTCAGTTTTTCTTTTATTCATATGTGCATACAATATTTGGGTCATTTCTCCCCCCTTCCCTTACCTACCCTTTCCCCTCCCTCTCCCTCCACCCCCTCGCTACCAGGCAGAATCTATTCTGCCCTTACCTCTAATTTTCTTGAAGAGAGAGTATAAGCAATAATAGGAAGGACCAAGGGTTTTTGCTAGTTGAGATAAGGATAGCTATACAGGGAGTTGACTCGCATTGCTTTCCTGTACATGTGTGTTATCTTCTAAATTAATTATTCTCAAACTAACCTTTTCTCTAGTTCCTGGTCCCCTTCTTCTATTGGCCTCTGTCACTTTAAAGTATCTGCATTAGTTTCTCTGCATTGAGGGCAACAAATACTATCTAGTTTTTTTGGGTGTCTTACCTATCCTCATACCTCCCTTGTGTGCTCTCGCTTTATCATGTAATCAAAGTCCAATCCCCTTGTTGTGTTTGCCCTTGATCTAATATCCACATATGAGGGAGAACATACGATTTTTGGTCTTTTGGGCCAGGCTAACCTCGCCCAGAATGATGTTCTCCAGTTCCATCCATTTACTTGCGAATGATAAGATTTCATTCTTTTTCATGGCTGCATAAAATTCCATTGTGTATAAATACCACATTTCTTAATCCACTCATCAGAAGTGGGGCATCTTGGCTGTTTCCGTAACTTTTGTCCTTCCCTTTGTATTATGGCCTCTAGTCAACTCCCCATCTTCTAGTTCTAATTTTAGCTTTAAAAAGGCTTATACTGACACATGCTAGTTGAGGAAGCAAGATTGGGAAAGGGATGGAAAGTGGACAAAAAAGGAGATTATCAGTATTGGTTATGGAGCAAACACTACTTAGTATTCCACACAGTTGTCCAATTTACTGGCCACAACCATCCTAGGATACATGTTACTTTATAAGAGTCACTTTATAAGATGAAGAAACTAGGGCTCACAAAGTGACTTGCTCAAGGTCACACTGCCAGGAAGCAGAAAGTCTGAGATCTAAATTCCAGTCTTTTGTCTCCATAGTCTTCTAGCTCTTTCTGCTACCTTATAGTCAGTACAGAAGGTAAGGTGTTGGGGATACAACACCTCTCAAATTCAGGTTCTATAATATAAAAGTTAAGTGGGTTAGGATCTAAACTGACTGGGTGCATAGCCTACAAGGTCATTCTTGCTGGAAATGCCAGCAGTATTTAGCTTTTTATTTTGATGGGGAGACTTTGGCTTGTCTTCAGATCTGACTGTCCCTTCATGATACTGATGTCACTTTTGGAGGTTAATCTCAATGACAGTGACTGCCCTGGAAAAGGGATAAGAAATGGACAGATTGTGCAACC